GTCTGAGAATAAAAATATTAACAAGTATGAAAAACACTCAGATTAACAAGGGAAATCAAAAGCACAAAACAGAGACATCACCAGGTGTGAGAGCAAAAAGCAAATACTACATCAGCGCTTCAACTGATCAGCCCTTTTCCTGCAAGAGGAAGATTTGAACAGCATTTCCGAACTTGCTCCCGCGTGAGTTAAAAATATCAATTATGTCAGAGTAGCGATTATAACACTCCGCCGATCTTTGGATCGGGTTTAGGTTGCTAAAATGTCGAGCTATATAAAAAGATGATTGGAGCCGTGTAGGCACACGTGGAACTCTGAGGCTCACTTCGGACAGAAGGCTGGGAGAGTTAATCGAGCCGTGCAGGGTCTTAAACAAAAACAACAAATCTGCCTTCACCCGACGCTGCTGGAGGCTCAACAAGTTGACAAGTTGCGAGTTACACACACCGTTCAGACAAGGATCACCATTCTCAAGGTAACGATATTTAAAGATAGAAATAAATTTGTTTTGGACTCGCTCGACAGATGAACTGTTAGTTTTGGAAATGCCGTTCCAAACAACCGAGGCGTACTCTAGCTGGGATCTAACTAAGGAACAATACAGTGTAAAAAAAGCGGACGGGCTTTTGAACTCCTTCGTTATGCGAGACACGGCACCTAACGTCCGCAAGGCCGATTGAACCACTTTGATGACGTGAGTGTCAAATCTCAAGGTTGAATCAAAGACAACTCCAAGGTCCCTCAGTTCACTTACACGTGACAGCAGTTCGCCATGATAACTATATGGAAAGAATATATCATGGGTCTTGCGAGAATATGTCATTATTTTTGTTTTAGAATGATTTAAACGGAGGTCATTGTCTAAACACCAACGACCGAAGGAATATGCGTCATTCTGAAGCGCGATGCAATCCTCTAAGGTCGATATTTTTTTGTAAAGTTTTATATCATCAGCGTACTGCAGAAATGAAGAATTTAATATAACTCGAGAGACATCATTTACAAAAATATTAAAAAGGAGGGGGCCCAAGACAGATCCCTGAGGCACTCCAGAGCTTGCCTTGTACAAGGACGAGGTAGTATTGTTGACGCGGACGTAGGCATGCCTATCAGACAAATAGCTTTTTAACAAATTGTATACCGAACCACATACTCCGTACGAAGAAAGCTTGTATAAGAGGATGTTGTGGTTGACTACGTCGAATGCCTTACTCATGTCGAAATAAAAAACGTCAAGCTGACCTCTATTACAAACTACTTCAGAGGCAGCAGACATAAAAGATACGAGATTGGTGGATGTCGATCTGCCGGACATGAAACCATGCTGATTAGGAATGACTATACTACGAAACTTGAAGGAGAGAAATTGATGGATTACCATTTCAAAGAGTTTGGAAAAAGAAGAGAGAAGAGAAATCGGTCTGTAATTAAGAACATCACCACTATTTCCAGATTTCAGTACCGGAACAACCACTGCCAGTTTCCAGTCGTCAGGGAATATCCCTGACGTCAAGGAGTTATTGAAAATTGTGCACAGTATAGGCGTAAGTAATTCATGATAAGCCTTAACAATTGCAGCGGGTATCCCGTTATGACCTGCAGACAATGTGGGTTTCATTTTCTTAATACATAGCCTAACACATTCCTCATCGACAACCACAGAACCTAATGAGTCGCCAAAAACGTTCGAGTGAGGCAAAATAGATGAGGAGCAGTTATTATTATTAATGTAAACTGACGCAAAGTGATCAGCAAACAACTCAGACATGCCCTTCGCACTGTCGCTATGCTGATTCAAGACGATTTCGGACTCAATATTCTTCCCCAAGCGCGATTTAGCGTACCTCCAAAATTTCTTGGGATTTTTAACAAGATCTGATTCCACCGAGTCAGAATGCGCCTGGCGATCACGGTTTAAAATTTTCTTACATCGCTTTCTGCAAATTTTAAATTCAACTTCCCACTTTGGAAGACCACTTTTCCTAAACCTCCTGTGCAAAAAATCTTTTCGTTTTAAAAGCGTTCTGAGTTCACGAGAGAACCATATAGGGAAGCGAGATTTTTTAGACGTTTTAAGAGGGATATACATGTCCATAGCCTCCTGAACAACAGTTGTGAGGAGATATACTTGGCCGTTGATATCAGACGACTCCAGGATAGAAGCCCAGTCAACACCCGAAAGATGGTGATACATTCCAGTGTAGTCCCCCGCTGAATACTTATATGATGTGTGTGGGGAAGGACCATTAGAGGGACTGAGGACCGGAGGATCAAAAATAGAAAGAACTACATCAAGAGCAGGGTGATAGCTATCCTCAGGAACCATAGAAAGTTCACTTCGAGCCACATGTATACCGTCCGTGTTTGAAAAGCATAAATCTAAAGCATTACCTTGGTCGTTTAGAATGTTATTGTGCTGTCTAAGATCTAAAAAGGAAGTAAAGTTGAGGAGATAGTTGCACTTTTGTTTACAATAAAAGTTGCCAGTAAGGACATTGAATTGTGTCCAGTTAATCCCTGGAGCGTTAAAATCCCCCAAGATTAAGATATTGCTCCCCTGTGAATCATTAATAGTATTTTCAATGTCAGCAAGACATCTTTGGAAATCATCTGGTGTCGTCTGAGGAGGAAGGTAAAACAGACCTATTAAAATACGTTCTCTGCTAGAACACTCAATTTCAACCCACAGAGACTCAGGAAATCTCTCCAGATCCTCACGTCTTCGTGAACTATATTGTTTGTTAACCGCGACCAATACACCGCCTCCTACTCGGCCCCGGGAAGAGAAATCACGATCATGACGGTAGACTTCAAAACAAGGCGGAAAGTAGTCGGAGGAACTAACACTAGGACATAACCAAGTTTCCGTTAAGCAAACAATTGAGTAATTAGATAGAGTAATGTTGGCAAAGAAACATTCAGCTTTCGTCCGCAGGCCACGGACATTCTGGTAAAACAAATCGACGTTACTCATCTTTGTATTTAGTGTTGGGCTTGTGGGCTTCTTCAGACGAGTGAAGGAGTTCTTGACGAAGAGCGCCTCTGAAAGGTTTAAAAAGACAATCCTTCGGCCACAAAGCAGGGTCAGAGAGTTTCTCAAAGTCTTCGGCTGCTACAGAGACGTGAAAAGAGGCGTAAGTGTTGTAGCGAGTCTTCAGTCGGTGGCACTTCAAGTTTTCCACATCGAGGGAACACAGATGCCCAACGACGTCAGTAGAGGTGGTGACCGGATCCAGCTTGGTCACAAACAATGCCCTCCGGCGGGAAGATGAGGGGGCAACGCTCAGCTTGCACGCCACGGACGCTCCGGCTTGCGCGGGGATTCGAGACTTCGGGCTGATCGGATTGGGCTTCACAGGAAGTGGATCATCTACCGACGCCTCGCTCACCAGCGCAGAGGCCGGTGCCTGCGGGCTCATCGGGTTCGGCTTACCAGGGAGCGCATCGTCTTTCGTCGTCCCGTCTGCTGGTGCACCTGCAGGCTTTGCAGAGAGAGCCGAGGCAGGAGGGAAGCGCAGGGCTGCAGCAAATGTTTTTCCTCCACAGGGCCCTGCCTGAACTTCAACATCAGTTCTTGCACGCTTACCAAGCACATCGCGTAAGCTGCGAACTTCCGCCCGGAGACAGGCGATGGAGCCTGCCTGGAGCTCCGCCTGCTGTCTCTGCTCACGACGGAGACGCGCGTTGTCTTCACTGAGGGAAGCAACCTCCTCGGCGAGGAAAGAAATTCCTTCCAGCGCGTCGAGGAGAAGGGACCGAAGGGACTGAAGGCTGGCGTCCCCACGTGCGTCGAGGCCATCGGGAGAGGAGGCAGGCAGCGTCGCCGGACGTGTAGGGGAGGCCGATGGCGGAGGAGGAGAGCGGGCGAACTGGTCGTCGGGGTCACCGGAGACCGCGCCGCTGACGTTAGGCCTAGCTCCACCGTTGATCTTGGCACAGCTTTGGCGGACAAATGAGCTCACCTCACGCTGAAGAAATGTGCGTTCGTCTCCGGAAAGCATACGCACTTCGTATGCGCGCGAAGTTGGCACTCAGTGCAGCGAAGAAATCTTTGTCGTCCGTAAAAGCAGCCAGAGCAAATCAGACATGCATCCTTGCTGGGCGGCATCTCCGCAGCGAAATAATAATAATAATAATAATAATAATAATAATAATAATAATATTTATTCACGAGAGAAGAATTACCAAGTTCAGCTTCGGACCTGGTCAAGGCCGGCAAGGGCTTGTGGGACCAGATCCAGCAAGAGAAAAATAATAATAATAATAATAATCAATCAATCAATCAATCTTTATTATACAGTGCCGAGGAACAACCCTGAGGTCTTGGTGCTGGTACACTGGTGGATAAAAAAAAACAAAAAACAAAAAAACACACTATACACATCTCCGCAGAAAATAAGATACATTTTTAGCATAATACTAGGCAGTGCACGAGTAATTAGTACAATGAAATAAAAACGAGGCAGTAACAGTAGAGACGGAACACAAGACCGAAGGACAACAAGTGCACCACCAGAAAACACGACATGGAGATGACGACATTCAGACATAACAAAGCAATTCAGCAATGCTCATCCTGCACGGGCAAGTTTTTAATAGAAAGGACAAACGTCCTGTAGCAAGGGTTGAAAATATCAAGTTTTTCAGAGTAATGATTCAAACGCTGAGCCATTTTCACAATTGGGTTTACCGGACTAAACATTCTAGAAACATAAAAAGATGACAGAAGACGAGTAGGCATAATAATAATAATAATAATAATAATAATAATAATAATAATAATAATAATAATAAATCTTTATTCTCAAATTGCCCAGTACCAAGTTCAGTTTCGGGCCCGATCAAAGCCATCAGGGGCTTGTAGGATCAGACCCAGCAGTTTAATTGACAAAAGTATCACAGGCACGGCGACGACGAACACACAACCAACACACAGACAATAGGCTAAGCCTCACAGGGCCCAGGAGTCACACAGGCACGACGAGGACGAGAACACAACACACACTCAGTTGGATCAACATTGTAGATCCTTCGAGTCGCACAGGCACGACAACGACGAGCACACGCCAACAATCACTCAGTTGGTAGAACCACGGAGGGCCTTGGAGAGCAGTACGAGGTCACGTGGCACGATAAGTCGTAGAATGAGGTGGAAGAGAAAAAGGAAACAAAGCAAACGCAGACGAGCACACATGCGGCATCTTGGGCGACTGAATTCGGTACGATCGTAAATGTAAAAAAAAAAAGAAAAAAAAGACAAATTTAAGCATAATTGAACACTTGATGCTGCAGGGAGGACACCGAAAGGTAGGGCGGGTAGCATAAGCAGAAGATGCAAGTCGCTAATGTAGAAAGCAGGAGCATTCGCTCAAAGGCACAATCACATACCTAAAAAAACCATTGCCCAGGTTACTGTCTCGTAATGTCAGAAAATACATTTTGCAGCTTCCTTTTCAATTGCTTGTTAGAGGTGATGGAACTGAGTGAGTGCGAGAAGTCATTAAAAAGGCTAGGTACATAATGTTTGCGCAGACTCTCACCATATCGAGTCCGTACCGAAGGAATTTGATAAGGAACAAAACATCGGAGTTCACGACATGGATTGGATGGAATTTTGAACTCGCTTTCCCAAAAGTGCCGCCTGATAACTGTTTGAACAAAGAGCGAGTAAAAGGATGGCAACTGAAGAGACTCAAAAAGATTATCAGTACTAGAGTATTGCGTGTGATAGGCAACGCTTTTGAGAATACCCTTTAAAATCCGATCGATTCTTGAATGCCATTGGAGGGAGCAATTAAAAAATACGGTGATGCCGTACCTCAGTACGCTGTACGCTAAGGCGTGTATTATGTTTTTTTTAATGGGTAACGGTAAAATCCCTTTAATGTTGTACATGAAACAACAGACTGTTCGAAGACGTTGACATAAATGAGACATATGAGTACCCCACGCTAAATCACAATCAAAGTGAACACCTAAGTATTTCATAGAGTCCACATATTGTATTGGAGTGCAATCGGTACATGCGCAGTTAGATGTATGAAGATATAAGGGGAAAGTCAAATTCACATTTTTTAATGGATTACGAAAACATATCAGTTTCGTTTTTGCAGTATTAACTCGAAGCTTGTTTGCAGAGAACCAGTCCATAAGGTTAACAGCGTCCACCTGAAGCATTTCCATTGCCCGCTGGTAATCTAGGTGCCGATATAATAATAATAATAATAATAATAATAATAATAATAATAATAATAATAATAATAATAATAATAATAACAATGTTTTATTTTTTCGGATGCCACGAACTAAAGATTACGACTACTACTACTACTACTACTACTACTACTACTACTACTACTACTACTACTACTACTAATAATAATAATAATCACACGCAATGGACTGGCAATTATTACTTTTCCACAAAAGCTGAGATCGGTTGCGTCGAAGAACGTAGTGAATAGTCAGCAACATGTCGGAGGTCCGTGTCACAAGGACGGCAATTCTAGTAAGAGTACTACTATAGGGAGTATTCACAGGACTCCGTTTTTGTGGGTGCTCTTTAGAGCGCATGCTCAGAGCGAGCTTTCATTAATAGGCAGCTAAAACCGGCAATCTTGATGGTGCGGAATGCACGTTGGAAAAGAACTGTGGAAGCTCGGCGTCAGCACGCGCTCAGCAGTCGCGCACACAGCTATGGCCGCCAGTGAATGCTCCCTATAAGGAGTATTCACTGGGCGCCATATTTGTGGGTGATGTCTAGAGCGCATGCTCTGAACGAGCCCACATTAATAGGCTGCTAAGACCGACAATCTTGAGGGTGCGGAATGCACGTTACAAAGGAACTGTGGAAGCTCGCCATCATGCAGCACACGCTCAGCAGTCGTGCACACAGCTATGGCCGCCAGTGAATGTCTGGATCGGCGCGACTCGACGATGGGAACTTGTGATGCTGCGCGTGTAGACAACAATCGCGGCGCTGCAGTCGACAGGGCAGCAGAAAGTCGCTGCAATCCGCACGTGCCACCGCACGCGCGCGTGTAGGCGGTGCACGCGCACAACCATCATGCATACTGACTGCCGATGCGCCGGTGTTGACACCTATCGCGATCTACACCACACGCCTTACGCGAGCCGCTCCGGTACCAACACTACCCCGTGTTCTAGTACAGGGCAGTATACTGCTGCGCGCTTTCTGGAGGCCAGTACGAGCGATTTTCAAGCGTCTCAAGAACGCAAAAAAAGTTTGCGCGCCTGATGTATGACCAAACAAGAACTGAATCGTTTTTTTTTTTTTATTCAAGTGTGCATCTTTATTTTTTTTTTTATTTGTTCAAAGTAATTATAAATCCCACGACAGCAGACAGCGACACTCTGCGGCCTTTTCTTCTTTTTTCTTTCTTTTTACGCTTTCATCATTGCGGTTTAAGATACTGCTTCAAAACGGAGCACGTCCGTCTAACTGTCATAGAGAACAACTGCGTTCTATCTCTGAACGCCATGCAACGCTTCATCTCCTTATGATTATGGGGCCAAGGCGTCTCTTCGCCGGTTGAAATGGCTCTGCAAGAGGGCATAAAAAGAATTATCACATGTTAGAGACCACCTTCGAAAGTGTGCCCTCACTCCTTACGTTCTAACTTCCGTTTCGCCTCGGCTGCACGATCTCTCGTGCAACGGGAATACAAGTAGAAGCTACCCGACTTCACGTTCCGCGGAATCTGTTTGTTCCACCGTTGTGCAGTGGGCCATATCTTTTATCGATTGACCCGTGACTTTAGCCTGTCTCAGCACGGCCAGACTGGAAGCGCGCGCTCTCTTTCTCTTCTTACGGCCTTTGCAATCGGCTGGGAGTCAATGGCATTTTTTCTCCGTATGTAGCTCACTTGCTTGCCGCCAGGGGCGCAACCACCTCACCCCACTTATGGCGAATTCGGGTGGTCAATCGCCGGCGAGCTCACGCCGGCGGCACAGGCAACGAAAACCGCGCCAGCGGCGCACCACGTGACCCTCTCCACCCGAACACAAAGCGCCTGCAACTGGCGTTTTCGTCTGCCTGGGTCGCTCGTGAACTTTGTTAACTTCTTCCACGATTATTTTATGATACAATAGGCACGCTCTAGGCATCAGCAACATATATTCGGACTTTGAGATGTGGGTAAACAAATTGTAATATATTTTGTTTAGATTCTCGAGGAACTGTTGCCATCTTACAAGGATCCTAGAAGGCTCACCAGCGTCGCCATTTTATATTCCATTTTCTTGTTATTACCTTTTTGCTGGAATCCTCAGCATTTTGATTTGACCCAGCCCTCTAAAATAGTAATGCGCGTTCAAGTGTCGAGCTGCAGCACTATCAATACATTTTTTACAGCGGTGTAATAACACGCTGTGTCCCATAGGAAACTGATCTTGCGGAAGCTTCCTTTAAAATATTTTATCTTTATCTCCGTTGTTTTTGCTGTCTTTCTCGGACCACAGAGTCTGTCCCAATGGCTTCGTTTTCTACTAGAACACGCTCTCGGCGACCATTGTTTCGTTTGGTTCCCTTTCCCGATTCGGATATGACGATACCGGATACAGTCTGGCAGACAAGCTGCCCGACCTCTTGGAGCTCGGGCAAAAATTGTGCCGGTAAATTGCCAGCACACGCCTGAGAACTGCCACCCGAACGGCGCGCACTCGCCAGCCTTTGACCACGCGAACGCCCTTGGCGGAGATATGGCAAAATATTTTGCCGGGAAATGACCACGCGAATCCGCCATTAGGGTGCCTACATGTCTGTCTGTCTCAGGGTGAAGACATCCATTGTTGCCCTGAATGTGCCAGCACGTGACGCTCTCGCGCACTCAATGCGTGGCTTGGGCGGTAAAATGGCGTCTATGCATTAGCCAAAGCTACGCGCTCGAGCTGTGTGACACCGGATTGCGCGCACTTCAAAATGCATTAAGAACCATTGGGCGGAAAAATGGCTGAGATGTCACCACTCAAGCAAAAGCGCGCGTGTGTATGAAGGCACTCTAACCCCACTTCACCCCACTTAGAGGGTCCCTTCGAGCTGCTTTGCGCTGGTGTTCGAACTTCGTAGCTTGTTGTTTTGGCAACTTTGGTCTGGTATACGTCGGTGGCTATGTGGTGAAACTCACTGTGTTATGCTGTTGACTACAAGTAACAGAGGTGATCCTCTGTTCGTCTTATTGCAAGGCCAGGATAAAAGCGGGCTTCATTATCCAAATCCTAGGTTCCTCGCACTTCTGGACAACACTGTTGCTTTTTTTAAAGGCTGTTAAGCACCTTCCGCGTACAAATGTGCACGAAGTTCTGCAACTAGATAGGGTGCAACTCACTGCACCCTATCTTGAATACGCGCCAATCCTAAGCTGCCCAGAGGGCATTGACAACAGTCACTCAAAGCGCTTGGCTGGTTCAATTTGCAACAAGTTCCCCAGAATGCTTCTGATTAACCATGCAAAGACGGTCACGGACGGAAAGCGAAAACTCAGCTGGATATGTGCACAAGCCCTTGAGGAAGCACTTTAGGCTGTAATATGCACTGTGCGAAACTTGTGCAGACTACTACACCCTCGTCTAGAGCAGCTGACCGACGTCATAGGCGGCCTATATGAAATGATAATGCAGACCACGGCATTAGATAGATTGGGCCTGCTTACATTTCACGAGAGTGTACGAATTATTTATCATTTAAAGTTCCTCTCCGTAGAAGGGGTCCGTCTCCTCATGTTCTTGAGTTGCAACAGAAGTCCTGGAGGTAAAGACGAGTATAGTTTTTCCGTAATTGCATTCGCTGTCTCTACTTACTACTTTTTATACTCCCGAATCTCTCGGAGATGTGCGTCAAATATTCACCGTTTTAGGCTCATCAGAAGCGCTTTAGATAGTGGCTGAGGGTCTAAACGTAAAGGCCCGTTCACACTCTTGCGACCTCTTAAACCTAGGTTCCTTACAACTTCTTAAACCAGAAAACACACTGGTGCCATCTATTGGGAAGCAGTGTAAACTCGGCGGTCCGGCATATTTTTTTTTTTTATTTCTCGCGCATTATCCTTTCTTTTTTGGCTCGAAAAACTTTTGTCAATGTTATAAACGAGCCTTTCTATGGGTATTACGCACATTTGACCTCGGAAATCCCGCCAAACCTTCGCTCTTGTGAAATGCAGTTCCAGGGTCACCGCATAGATGGCGCCACAATGCCAGTTTGTTCTCTCATTTTAAAAGCATTTAGCAAGTTTTAAGAGAACTCGTCTCTCTCAGTCGTACTCGGTCGCACTCGGTCGCAAGAGTGGGAACAGGCCTTAAGGGTCAGGTGTCAAAGGCTATAAAAATCTCGGCCGCAAGTTGCGACAGCGCTGAGATACACTCTGTGTATCTCAGCGCTCTGTGCACAGAGCGCGTCAGACGCGCTCTGTGCAAACGGCGAAGGGTAGCCCAGGGGTGAGGTGACAGCGCCCCCCGCGAAGTGCGGCGGGAGGTGGCGATTGCCCCAATTGCAAAGGCCGTAAGAAGAGAAAGAGAGCGCGCGCCTCCAGTCCATCCGTGGTCTCAATATCTCTGTCAACGGTCAAAGCATCGAAGAGTCCAGCCTCAAGACTTGTGCGCAGCCTTTGCAGTGGAGAAACAATATTTCGTAACACAAATGCACAAGTTCGAGTTGCTCGTCGACACCACTGACAAAGTGAGAACGGCAGGACGTGTCTTTTGAACGCCCGGCCTCCAACACGTGGTCTATGTTACATATCTTTTCTAAAGAGTGTGCTCTCCCATCAAATGAAGACGAAGAAGGATATACTATAATACCGATACACGCGGAAGCCAAGGGCGACGAAGTACCCGAACGAAACCTACCCCTTCACGAGCTCTACCTCTCTTCTCTGTGAATATTGTAATATGATAATAAAAACATTCTTTAATCTTTCTCTGACGATATCTTACGCACTATGCCTTCCGCCGTGCTTTGGCTGCACGCAGGAGGTGTACCAGACACTGAAGCGTTGTCGAAAACAGGAAGCTCGCACTGGAGGCGGGGCAGCAATAGCACTTCCCTGCAGTCCTCACCGTTCGCCATGCCTGGCTCAAGTTTCAAGCCAGGCAACTATGCGGCGTTCATATTGAAAAAAAAAAAGGGGGTTTACCCTTTTGTGTGTGTGTGAAAAGGGAGAGCTCTCTGGGGCATATGCATGTTTCTTCCCTTTTGTGGTGCATTGCCCTTGTGTTAATCTCGTGATGTAAACCCCGAGGCAAGGAAATTTAAATAACGAACAGTACGTTATTTTATTGTCCTTGCTTACTCGCGAAGTTTAGATTATGCTGTTTCCTAACCAGCTCGCCTAAATTTTTTTGAATTTTTTTTTATGATTTTTGTTTTAGCTACTTAGAGTAAAGATCTTGAACACCCAGGCTTCTCTCTTTTCTGCATTATATTTATTTTCTATAGATTAAAATAGCTATTTATGGCATTCGGGGTCAGCAGGTGCACGTGATTCGTTCTGGTGCTTCGGAGCGCTTGATCCTCGCTGATGATTTTGCTAGAACCGCCTGTAAAGGCCGGTTCTCACATGCAGCGAAGTGCTGATGTAGCGCTGCTCACGTGTCGTCAGCTACTTATCGACTGCCATAAAGAACAGTTTTGAGGGTGCGATAAAAAGCTGATGGACGCTTCCGTCAGCACGCGCTTAGCGCCAGGTTAGCGCAATGCTTGCAACGCTCCGCTCCATGTGTGAACAGGCCTTAAATCGCAGGTGCAGTCCACGCTTGCGTGAAAAGAGGTAAACATTTAATCGAAGGAAAAATTAAGAAGCTTCTAGCAGTATGAGAGAGTTCTAATAACTTACGTACCACCGTCTCAGGTGTTACTTTATGAATAATTATCGTCAGCTCGCCTCAACACTCATTATTATTTTCAACATCTTAGTGGCCGGTTCTACTTTGAAAATCTTCAGGGAATGCGTAGCGAAAGTTCGTCTGCTTTTTTTGCGGGGGTTGTGGTGACGTCAGAACGCCAAGCTCTGATTGGTTCTGATTGAAGCATATAGACCGACACGCTGTTTACAAACAAGCCCGCGTTTGCCCACACCAGGTGTGGGCACTGCGCATGCGCAGAAACTGAATTCGCGTGAAGTGAAGCGTCTGCACATGCGCAGTGCCGTTGATAGTGCCACCGTGGCTGCGTGACGTCAGGGCCGCGTGTTGGTCTATATTGTGGGTAGACCTGAAAGCAAGCTGCCTTGAGGCCCACCCACTATCCTTCGAATCGAGCCAATGAGGGCTCGGCGTTCTGACGTCATCACAACCTCCGAAAAAGAAACAGACGAACTGCATAGCTTCATTCTGGAGAAAAGTGGGAATCCTCGAAGATTAGAATGTTGTACGCTGACGCAGACAACCGAGTTGAGCCGATCGTCTGGAAAGGTTACTACGGTGACCGAAAACTGCATGTTCACACCGACAGGTGGGGCCATTCGAACGAATAACTATGCATATATTTGAGAGTAGTATAATTCCACTGCTCGATCGGGGGTCACGGGGTTTATGGGCCGCCTCACAAGGTCCTCTGCTGTATTTTCTACGTCAAGTAAAGATCCGAGCGCTGGACACATTACACACGACAGGACTGTCCTCGTGTTTTCCCCGACTGAACACGGGTCTCAACCGAACGGCGACGCAGCGCTCGTGCACAATCTGCTCCACGCGCTCGCCCCTTGTACATGACGTAGAAACATGGAGCACCACAGCCTTCTGCTCAGGGGCGGTTGCAGGTGCTTTCAGAGAAGGAGTTCAGCGTATCAGATGTTTAAAGAGACACTGACACCCTCCAATTTTTGTTTTTTTGCATTTTTGTCAGCCGATTTATTATGGTTGTAGGAAGACTACCCAATTAATATTTTGCAGCAGAGTCACGTATGTATTTATTAAAAAAAAAAAAACGAAAAAAAAAAAAAAACGGAGTTTGGAGCAGTGGAGAGGAGAGTGTGAGCGGCGGAAGTCACGTAACTACACCCGACCACGCGCGGTTTTTTTTTTTTTTTTTTTATCTTCTTCGATTTTTTTTTTTTTTTTCCCTGTGCGCAACAGATTTTTTGTGTGACGGGAACTCTTTGCAGTGTGGTTTCTATGCAGTTATGTTTGTTCCGCTCGCTGTTTTGTACTTCGAGGTGAGTTGTTTTGTTCATTGAGGAGTTGGAGATGAGTCGTGAGTGCCCGTGGTGAATTTCTGCGATCGGCTCCGGAAAGAATATTCCCAAGAGGTTGCGTGAAGAGCAGGCTCACATGTCCTGCGTTCAAAAACTGTGGAATTGTGCGGCAGAGTGTGCACCAGTTTCCGAAAGATCGACGGGGTCGGCACCAATGGCTGGCTGTAATTCCCCTGTTGAACATTTTACGGGCACTTCGGAAAGCGGACGCTACCCGATTTACATGCCCCTTGCATTTTGTAAAAAGTGATTACACTGAGTTCGCAGGTGTCAAAAAAGGAAATCCCATGCCATTTAGTTCAGCGGCGTTTCGTCCACAAGATTTTTTTTATATTATTATTGATAATTGTAAAAAAACAAAAACAAAAAAAAACGTTAAATATCGCAAAATGTTTCAGAAAAAAAAAAAAAAAAGGTACGCCCACATTAGGGATCTCACCCGGCTCCGCCGCATGTGAAGCGGACGTCTTTCCACGGCGCTACTGGGGAAACACTTTCGTTAGTAATAATGCAGAGGGTCATCTGTAAGTTGGAAAGTTTGATGCCGATTTTCCTTCAGCAAAAGCACTCCCGGACCGAAGTCGGGAAGCACCACGCATTGGCCACATTCGCACCTCGTAAAGAAATCATACGCGTGCATATTCAACTCGACGTATACGCACTTCGTGCTTCACGTTTGCGCGAGCGATGTCTTCAGCCACGAGAAGGGGGTGACGGCTCGGCGACGTCTTCGAGCAAATCGGCTTGGTGGTGGGGCGTGTCGTACGGGATGAATACCAATTCTTTTGATCGGTCCCAAATTTCTCTTTCAAAGTCAGACAGAATTCGTCGGTACCGCGAACGACAGTTCTGAAGTAGAGGTCCCACACCCGTCGTCCGCTGCCATCGCCGTCCCCGCCGAGTCCCGCGATACGCGAAACGACGCGCAGTGAACGCACAGGATGCTTTCGGTTCTCTGTGCAACATTTTTTTTTTTCAGCCAACGTAATTAAAACTTTTTAGAAGCCACAAAAAAAAAAAAAAAGGGTTTCATAATTGTTTATTTTTATTTTTATTATTGAGTGTGTGGCTTCAATGACCAACGACTTTGAATAAATTTGGTGGTTGTGTCTGAACCTTAGAAAACGGCCCGTGACCACGGAGAAGAGAGTGAGCGAGACTCGAACCGGCCAGTTCTTGATCGGCGGTTTTCGGGCGGAAAGAAACCGAATTTCGAGCCGCAAATTGTGTTCTGGGTAGTTGGGCTCTCATATGTCACGCACAACTAAATACCTCGGCGAGCATAAATACCCTGTCAGTGTCCCTTTAAGACAGGCCTCTCTCTGCCCCTCCTCCCCGGCCTTTCCCCCGCCCTAGAGTTTTACACATGCAGAATTGAGGGGGGGGGGGGGGGGGGGGGGGGTTGGCTCCACGCGCTGTTCTCTTCGCCTCGCGACAACGCGCACATGAGCCATTAAATTGCAAGGGCTCTTGATAGTTTGAACTGCTCCCGCTATCAAAAGGCTGTTAGAAGTAATTGAAAGCAGACGAAACAGGTAACACGTTGACGGAAGATTTGCACATTATTTTTTATATATTTTTGAACTTGTGCGCACACATTATTGCACATATTTTATTTAAGACTAAACTGATTACACCAATATCATAATTTAACGGCGTTTACAGTCGTGGAAATTTAAACTTGAGAGAGGGAGAAACTTAAATCACGGGGAGCGTTTGCAATTTAATGGCGCGGACACCTCCTGCGCATAGTGCTTACACGCGTGCGTTGTCGCCTGGAAAGGGGGATAGCGGACAGAAGCGGAGGGCGGGGACGCTTGGTGCAAATACTTTCTTGGAGCTTTGAGAGGCACGACGCTTTCGCCAGCTTGTCGCGCCTTGCGTAGCAAAAGCGGTCCACAGACTACGTGACCCAAATTAAGCAGTTGTAATCACTCTCCCGTCTAAGCATGCATATAGACCATTCCATTTAGCGCTCTCTGGGCGGCACCATTTTGTTCGACAGCAGCGCCCTCTCCATACATCCGGGAAATTCAGCGGGTTCGGCGGGGTAAAACGAGAGCGAGGGCACGCGCCCGACTCCGCTAGCAGACGACAAACCGGGAGGGAGGTTGCCATTCTCCATCTTTGGGCTGTATCGGCGGGCTGTACGAAACATCGAACTCTCGCTCGTGGGTGCCGTTGTGAAGTGGTTCGCGTTCTTAGAATAGTTATGGCTACTCCAAAATCAGCCTATTGGCGACGTGAGCGATCGAAAGCGTCGCTGTGGTCGGCCCACCACAATTGGCCGAATGCTGACTATGACGTCAGCAAAGGATGTCTCATCGACGGAGATAAGAGGAATGTAAGAACTTAAATTTTGACGATGTTGGCAGAGTTGCTTTGAGAGCACGATGATTTCAGGCTTCCACAATGCCCATTACGAACACCATCGAACTTGTTACTCACAAGGTAATGACGTCACGAAAGGTAACCGAACGAGGGCGCCACCGAAACATCTCGCCGCTAATAGCTCTGTTGTTCTATTTCGGTAAATGATAAACTAGCATATCTTTTTTCCGTTACTTAAATAGCAGTTAAGTCAGCCGGCAGTACTACCCGCAACTACTGCGTTTATTGCGGCACGAGAGCACGTTTCCATTTATTATTTCATACTTCCACTCATGATCGCTAAAGACCTACACCAGCACAAACTCTGTATAGTAAAAAACGTACAGCAATCGCGTTTACTTTTCGCCGGAGAGACCGGTGAATCTGACACAGTTTTCCATTTTTTTTTTATTTGCACGCAGGTAACAGCGCAATTAGACCCGGTTAGTCTTTTTATCTGGCATAGTATTACACGAGATCTGGCATACCAAAATCTGCGCATCTGCGCTTGAAATTTCCAAAATGACGCGATTTTAAACAGAATTTGTACGCCAGCCGGATGCTATAGGTACAGCCCACTTATCGGAGCAGGCGAGAGCGGGTGAGAGGGGGAGGGCATTTTTTTCTCTCCATTACCCTCTCTGCTATGACCCTAATAGAACGGTCTATACAAAGTGGACCACCCAAGATGGCTGTCGTCCACCGGCAGCGTTCGAGGATGACATTTATATCATCGCCGATTGATTTTAACTTGTGTACCGCTACGTTGCGATCACGAGTACAACGTTGCACTTTTGAGTTTGTCTGGAACCTTACAAATTGAAAAAATGCTACGCTAAGAAATCCGAGCCTCAAAACATCACCATCTGGGGTATGTTGTCAATGCTTGTGCCGGTTCTTACCCATTCTTTACAAAGGAGCTCCAAAGACGGATCATTCGTTCGCTGTACTCCATGTCCTTGAACGAGGCCAGATCTGCCCTATCGAAGACGTAACCCCAGACGAACGGGAACTCGTCGAAGTGCGTCACGCCCATCCACGGACACCGGAAGCTGCCTTTCTCTGGACGGTAGTCGAACTCGTAACAGTAGATGCGTGACGTGGAGTTCGCCAGGGCTTCGGAGAAATAGAGAGTGGGACACCGCACAACGACGTCTCCGATGCCCTCGGCGACGTACCGAACCACGTCCGGGATCGAGGTTCCCTCCCTGACGTTGAGGAGTAAGCTCTTCATCAGGTCTTCAGGCGTTGTCCACAGGGCGTACTCCATCAGCTGCTTCATGATCGCCAGGTGCTGGCTGGAGCTCATCCGAAACGGGTCGTTGATCCCCATTGCCCGGTATAGTTCTAGGAGGAAGTAGGACCCCTCGTTCTCATTGATGCCGATCAGGAGTTCGACGGGTTTAATAGTGGCGTTGAACATCATGGCGAGCGGATTCCGCGGTACTAGATTGTCACCAAATGTGGGAACGAAGGATGCGGACTTGATGCCCAGTAGTTGTGCAACCCCCCGCAGCAGCTTCTGAGCGCTCTGTTCGCGTAGACACTTGACCGCGGCGTTCGTTGACCATGTCAAGGGAGTACCGCACAGCCGACTCGCCAGCTTCTTAGCCTTCCCGGGACCCGTTATCTTATTCTCTTCGATCTTGTAGAAAGGACTGCCGCTCTGCATGATAGCCCGAAGGAACAGGTGACGCGTGAGTGGTGACAGCACATGGTACCCGACCGAGACAGAGCCCGAGCTTTGCCCCATCAGCGTCACTCGGGCGGGGTCCCCTCCGAATACTTGCACGTTGTCTCGCACCCAGAGCAGGGCCAGGCGTTGGTCCCAGAGTCCCTGGTTCCCTGGTGCCTGTGCAGAGTCCGCGTACAGGAAACCGAAGATGCCTAGTCTGTAGTTGGGCACCACCACAACCACGTCGCCCAGGGCCGCAAAGTGACGTCCGTCATAGACCTGTAGGTTGTTACCCCCGTTCTGAAATCCGCCACCGTGGAGGTAGACCACAACTGCCTTGAGACTTTCATTTCCGAAGAGCAGGTTGGGAGTCCACAGGTTCAGGTGGAGGCAGTCCTCGCTCCAACCAGACACGTTGATGCGTTCCTTATTGAAAGTGTACGCCAGCTGGGGACATTCGGCTCTCAGTTTCTTGGCGTTGAAGACGGTCGTGAACGGGGTCTTGGGCGTCGGCAGACGGAACCTGCTATTGCCCGTCGGAGGTTCAGCGAACGGAATCCCATAGAAGGCGTGCAGCGTTCTGCCGTGGGCCGTTAGCTGAACGCCTTCGACGAGACCAGCGGACGTGCGAACGACGTTTGCGTGCTTGGTCGTGTGTGCATCCTCTGTTACCAGGCTTCTGCTGCCCCCTGTTGCCAATAATATGATGCCCACGAGACCCATCAGAACAGCCACGTTGATCCCGATAACTGTAAAATATCAATCGCGTATTTGTTAGTTCAACAGGAAAAGCAATTTCTGGTTAAAGCTTTTTTTTTTTTCAAATTAATTTTTTTTTTTATATTTCAAATTTCAATAATTTTTCCCGGAATTCGGTGCCATCTGGTGACTAAAATGGCAGTTTAACTTTTACCGTACCAATGGCGGCAATAAACCTGCGGTCTGCAGTATTTTATGACGCACTGTAACTTTAGCAAGTCAACGGTCAACGAGAATGTGCGCTTCGCTGTATAGTTCTTTGTCGATCTCTTTCAATGTCGATGGTGAAAAAGATGCAACCAGTCAGAACGAAGCGCCAACCCGCTTAAACGCCTTGATAAAGTTCTATACATCAGGGGGCTTTGAAGCTAGGGTGACCACCCGTCCCGCGATTCGCGGGACTGTCCCGTATTGAGGGCTCGTGTCCCGCGTCCCGCAAGAAACTTCAAAATCTTAAAAATGTCCCGCATTTCATACTGTTGTAAAATTCACTCTGCAACTCATGGTGCTGTCGAACAACGGAACGCGGGGAAGCGCGGAGGTCGCTGGTAGTCGGGTGAATCACAATAGTATGCCATTTTCTATGCAAGCATTGCGGGAAGCGACCGTCGTTCTTGCAGGAGAATCGATGTGCATGCTCCTTTGTGCCTCTCCACTTGGTGGCAAAATATTGTAAAAAAAAAAACTGCTCGCAAAAAGTTTAAATATGAAATATTGTAATTATATTCGAATCACTGTGTCATTAAAATCAAATCCCTGTGTCAATGTAAAAGCTAGGGTTGCTGTGGATTTTTTTTTAGTGAAGACAGCCACACAAGGCAACAAGCTTGCAACTCACAACGGTCGAAAAAAAAAAACAATGTTAAAATGTGTGTAGGATCATGTTGATAAATGTAAGCGTTGACAGGACACAATAACCTGAAAAAAAATATACTTTGTTTTTTTTCATTCGTTGCATTGAGTTCTGCTGCAATCGATTTTTATGTTTTCTACATTGAAACATGTAATAACACATTTGGCACAAAAATATATAACTGGGAGTGAAAATTATTCGAGATTAATTGCCGGAATACACTTAGCAGGTGTTTAAACAGCACAAGATATTAGAATGTGTTAACAGGGCCTATATTTGTGGTGTGCGCGTAAATAAATTCCCTTTACAGCCCCCTCCCCTCCCTTCCCCCCCCCGCCCCCCCCCTGCCCCGTGTGTCCCGCGTTTCGCTAGGAGGAAGGTGGTCACCCTATTTGAAGGCGAATGTGTGCACTAACAGATTTACTGGGCCCGAGTTAGAGATTAACGCTTACGCAGGTCTTGAATCCAATTCCTGCTTCACGTCGCGCTAAAGTTTTGAATATATAGGCCTCGAATCAACTGCTGAGGAGCACCTTCAGCTTCTTCCTTTATCAGTAAACAGAAGGCCGCTATTAGTATACCACATATACCATTTTTCAGATGATGTATAGTGACCCAAGTGGCCAGACTTGGGTCAGAATAAACCCTCTCCAAAATTCTGGAAAGGGTTTATTGCATTTCGTCCCCAAACCCAACTTCGAAGTGCCCTGGGTTTGACAGGGTACGTAAAAAGTACAAACACCATCTAAAAAAAAAAAATTGGGTTCGAGGGTTTTCAATGTAGGAACTCTCGCCCACTGCAGGAGGTGTACACACACCATCCTCACTCATAAGAGGCAACAAAATGCGGCACCCGCTCTGAAGCTCATCTGGTGGTCCCGTAGTTTGTGCCGTACTTGAAGAATCACGTGCTAAATAACAACGCAAATGTGAGCTCTTAGAGTTGCCTTTCTTCAAAAAAACAAAACAAAAAAACAACAACAACAGAATATGGATTTCTTCCAGGATTCGAAGAGCGTTCGAAAAACCCTAGGAATTCCCCCAACGTTTTTAAATAAAAATATAAGAATAAACAAGCAGTGTTGGGAAGCACGTTAAGCACATGGTGCTTAAAGTACTACTTTAAGAAAGGTTAGAACCCTTGTAATTTACTTGAAACACATTCTCTAAGCATGTACTTGTACTTTACCAAAGTATTCTTTTTTTATTCTGCTACTTCACGAGGAATGACAACTCTCCACTTCAAAGTACATGCCCCAAATTTGAAAACAAAAAAGATGGCCTATCGTGATGTGAAAACGCGCTATCGTCTTTCCAGATGTCATCTGGTCATATCTCTGAGTGAAGTAATGATGGCTATAAGACCGAAATAAATAAGTGCCTTATAAGTTGATTGTGTTAAATAGTTCGTCAGCGAGAGTAAAGCAACTACTCCGTGGCGACTTCACTTTATCCAATATTCGCCGCCATTTCCGAAAAAAAAAGTGATGCACCTCCAATCACCCCTAAAACAATGCATACCAGTTAAAAAAAAAACAAAAAAACACCAAAAAAAATTGCTGTATTGGGGATGAAAGCGCATCATGAAAGATTGTGTTAAAAGTACCGTGTGCTTTACTTTGAAACTAGATTGTGTTTATAGTACTTTACTTCAAGTACATTGCACCCGGTATACTTACTACTATGCTTGAACTACGTAAATCTTATTTACTTTGTACCTTACTTCAGGTACTTCTTGATGTACAGGGTGTCCCCGAAAAGAAACTTCTCATGGTTTTTTTCACCGCAGAAGTAAACTGCGCATCGCCGAACGCTTATTCTCCGCCCAAAGGTAGCGCTAGAGGTCCGAAAAATATGTCAAAGTTTCAGCCCGAACCGATATCTTATTCAAAAGTTGTAAGTGATTTTCTGAAAATTTCAATGAGAAAACGGCGGCGTAGTTTGGCGCCAGAAGCCGAAAACGGACGAAAATGAGCCCCATTTTTCCATTGAGATTTTCAGAAAATCACTTATAACTTTTGAATAACATATATCGGTTCGTTTTGAAACTCTGGCATCTGGTTTGGGCCTGAAGTGCTACAATTAGGCGGAGAATGAGCGTTCATCAATGCGTTGCTTACACTTAAACCTAAAAAAAAAAGAAACTGTATTTTTTGTGGTTATTTGTATTTTACGCAACACTGTTAAGAAGTGAACACTGGCTGCAAAATCAAGCTCAGGCAGTGCGAAACCTCAAAGTAGAAATAATACATCCGTCGTATATCACTAAAAAAAAAAAAAAAAAAAAAAAAAAAAAAAAAACAGTTGCGAAGACAGAGGCAGAGCCAGCTATTAAAGCATTTATTTGAAAACAGACGCCGGTTTATATTTGACTAGCAGAATTGCTCCAACGGATCAAGATCTATGTACATTCTTGTTACCATACAAAAAAAAAAAAAAAAAAGAAACATAAACGTAATTTGCTACTTTTTTACGGCCGTTAGTAATTTACTCAATTACTTTCCTTGTGAGTAATTTCTACTCTACTCAAATTCTTTTGGGGTCAATAGTCGGTAACTTAACTTAATTACTTTTTTGAGTAACTTGTACATTCTGGCTCAGACCCTTCGTAGCGCATCAGTGATATCACAACTAATATATATATATATATATATATATATATATATATATATATATATATATATATATATATATAATGAAAAACAAATGAAGCGCTGAAACTAAGGTTAAATTTCCAATATACTGAAGAGCATGTATGGTGGTTGTGGTGTACACGCTCCGTAGAAAAAATGGGCCGAACTCGCTGCTGCCACTCCGCTGATTCTCGACGAAATGCGTGAGCATTTCGCGCAGCGGTTGTATCTAAGAAAGCATGGTGAATGCAGCCTCTCGGCTCTTTTTAACTGGAAGAACAATCCCAAAATCCCTCTACACTCCGGTGCAAGCAGATTAGGTTAGCTTGCGTGAGCACGAGGGACCCGCGCGCTATGCGCGGAAAACCTCGGAGCCATTTCGTTGTTGTGCAATATGTTGCGCCTAAAGGGTCGTCGACACCGTGCGCTTAGCATGATGTATGGTAAGGCGGTGATGCATGGTAAGACGAGTGCACGTCAAGAACGGTGTGGCAGGCTGAAGATAACGGAGCCGCAGCTTGTGTGCGTACACAGGTCTCCAAAGCCGGCGGCAGGAGCTTCCGAGGGCATCGAAAGCGCGCACCCGCACGCTGACCGCGTGACTTGACACCTAGTAACCGGGGTTCAATGGGGTACAGCGGTAGGGCTAGGGCGTATTTGGGCCGCAGGCGAGGCGCCGCGTGGCGGCTGTAAGTGAACGGGTGGCCGAAGGTGGGTTCATAATTTTGTAAGGAGCCATGGTTCCGCAGACTGTCGCCGCGTAACGGCGTGAGGGGGGTTCGACACTCACCCTATACACCAACTCATGTTTACAAACAAACCGGAGCGCCCGGAGCGCCCCTCGCGGACGCCACCGGCGCCGCGCATGCGCGATGGGGGTGTGGGCAAGAAGTTCGCCGTTGCCCATAAACAAACCATTGAAATGCGATGTTGTCGGCCTCGGTGTGAGTCCCCGCACTCTTTTTCGCGTTGGAATTGTTGATTCTACGTCCTCTTAACGGTGTCTGACTACTTGAGCGGCGTCAGCGAAATTAACGAGGCTCGTTACACCGCAAAACTTCGCGTGAATAATCTGACTTGCGGCGATTCATTCCGCGTGGACGCCGCAGAATGTACGCTAAGGCCTGATTCGCATGATGAGATTTCACTCGCAATTTTCAGTAGCGACGTCGCTCGGACTGCAAAAGCGTGAACCGTAGCTGAGATGGTCGACGTCGATACTGAACATCGCAAGCAGAATCTAACCAAGTGAATCAGGCATAACAAGTCGGCGATGGCCACTGGTAACAATGATCAACATCTCCTTGCATATACTGTTTACGTCGAGCCTGCTTACCAACCTTCAAACTTAAGTCTTTTGAGGCCTGCACTTACTTCTTATCGCAAGTACCGGGCCCACGTTTGGTCTGCGGGCCGGTGTCCTCTAAAAGAGCAGACGACAAGCAGAAACGTTTGAAAGAGCAGACGACAGTTCGAACGATCAGGCTACCGTTT